TAAACCCGCTAGGAGCGAGTTGCAGTAGTCAAGGCGGGAGATGACGAGGGACTGAACGAGTATCTGGGTTGCCGTGTGGAAAGAAATGGACGTATCCTTCTGATATTAAACAGGAGAAACCGTCAAGAGCGGGAAACGTTGGCGATATGAGAGGAAAAGGACAGACGATTGTCCATGGTAACCTCAAGGTTGCGAGCAGTAACCGAAGGACGGATCAGGGAGTTGTCGAGGGAGATCGCAAGGTCCAGGAGGGGGGATGAGTCAGCGGGGATGTACAGCAGTTCCGTTTTACTAGGGTTGAGTTTCAGTTGGTGAGCGGTCATCCAAGATGAGATATCTGCTAGACATGCAGATATCTTAGTGGAGACAAGAGTGTCTGAAGGAGGGTAGGAGAGGATGAGTTGAGTGTCATCTGCATAGCAGTGGTAAGAGAAGCCATGAGAGGATATGACCTCACCAAGAGATTTGGTATAGAGGGAGAACAGGAGTGGGCCAAAAACCCTGAGCCCTGAGGGACACCAGTGAAGAGACTACGTGGAGTAGATGTGAGTCCTTTCCATGTCACTCGGTATGATCGGCCTTCGAGGTAGGATGCAAGCCATTGCCAAGCCAAACCACCAATGCCAAGACTCCTAAGGATGGACAGGAGAGTCTTGTGGTTAACCGTGTCAAATGCTGCTGATAGGTCAAAAAGGATGAGGACAGATGACAGTTTAGCTGACCTAGCAGCATGCAGCTTCTCAGTTACTGCTAAGAGGGCAGTCTCTGTGGAGTGAGCTGCTTTGAAGCCAGACTGATTAGGATCCTGGAGGTTGTTCTGAGAAACATAAAGAGAGAGCTGGTTGTAGACTGTGCGTTCGAGGATTTTTGAAAGGAAGGAAAGAAGCGATACTGGTCGGTAGTTGCAAGTGTCCGAGGGATTTAGAGTCGGTTTTTTCAAGATGGGAATGAACCTGGCTATTTTGAATGCTGTTGGTACATGCCCGGAATGGGTGCGCCTCCGTAGGCGATCAGAGTCATTATTCACAGAGCAGGCTGCTGTCTGTTCGCCGCTACTTTGTTTGGCTTTTAGCTCCAGCTGGCATCCGAGCCTCGGCTGTCTACACATGCGGTGCTGGGATGCGGGTCCCCGTGGGCCGTCACCATCACAAAACCTCTCACAGCATCCTGCTCAGTCTCTGGAGTCTACAGAGCAGAAACCCCTCAGCACCATGTGTGGTCTTTACCTAATTTGGGTCTTTCCTACTGCAAACGGTTCACAGGAGCTTCAAACTAACTTTGTGCAAACCACACGTTCTACTAAGCAAGCTGCACACACACATAGAGTCTTGCAGATGATGGGGATAAGATGAGCGGGGCTGTAGGCTGCAAGTGGGAGGAGACATGTCTGTTGGGTGGGACACCTAGTTTTCTAGAAATGGCCAGCAGCATGCTGGTAAAATTCTGAGCTATTTTCAGGAGGTGGGCAGAGTCACTGTGACAGCAGACAGAGCCAGGGGACCAGGGGGACCCGGTGGTGGGACGAGCCTCCGGGGGTGAGCTGGCAGAAGGAGTTGGCGTGGGTGAGCTGGCGGGGCGAGCTGGGGGGGATGAACTGGCGGGACGAGCCGGCATGGGTGAGCTGGCGGGACAAGCTAGTGGGGGCAAGCTAGTGGGGGCGAGCTGGTTGGATGAGCTGGCAGGGGTGAGCTGGCAGGACGAACTGGTGGGGTGAGTTGGTGGGGCGCGCTGGCAGGGGTGAGTTGGTGGGGCGCGCTGAGTCAGACACAGGGACAGATAGAGACATGGACAGCAACAGACACAAGGACAGAGACAGGGACAGAGGCACAAACAGGTGCAGAAACAGACACGGACAAAAACAGAGATCGACACTGAGACATAGACAGACACAGGAACAGAACCAGACAAAAGGAGGGGAACAGAAAATGAGACAGACCTAGGGGCAGGGACAAAGACAGACACAGGCAAAGACAGACAAACTCACCTGGGAGGCCATATCAATCAGGATATTGATGGTTAAATTCATTCCTGCATTCGTCTTGAGAAAATCCACCAGGCTTCCTGCAAAAAGGAACAGCACAGGAGTTAGACTACAAGTTTACCTAAGTTAATCAGATACGCAGCTGGATTAAGGGTCTGATAGGATGGTCTTCCGTCTTCATCTTTACTGTGAAACATTTTCACATCTTTATTCATACACGCAAGTAGCATGTGCTTTGGTGTCCCTCAGAGCTGGATATGAGCCTCCTGCCTCCTGTTGGTGCCCCAGGACCTCAGTGAGGAGAGAGCTGAAGGAAATGGGGGCCAGCCTTCATCCCGCGTGCGGGGGGACGTCTCCTTCTCCCAACACACCCTGTTATTTCCTGAGGCTTTATGTCTACATAAAGGAGCAGGTACACAGAGCTTCAGGAGGTCACACAGCAGGGCGGCGCCTCCACCACACCCACCCAAGCTGCCCAGCGCTGACGGAACAGCCGAAGGTCTTATCAGGAAAGGAGGCAATGCGCGGAAGGTGCTGTGTTTCCATCCAAGAATAGACCCTTTCTGACAGGCATCTGAGCTCCAGGTCCGCACCACACAGAGCCAGTTTATAATAAACATGTGCTACCATACCCAGTTTCACTATGTGACTGGTGCAGCTTAACCACTGAGGGGGACTTTGGTTAACAAATTAAATAATTTCACCTCAAGATGCTTCAGAGAAGAAAAGCAAAATTGGCTAATGTGGGGGGGTGAGGGCAGTGTTTGTACTTCTGAGGATTACAGGAACCCATGATTATGGCATCTGCTCTTATGGCTACTGGACTGCCAGTCAAAAAAGCCGTTTTGTGCTGAACTCAGTCTTTGCAGAGGTACTAACAGAGACCACAACATCATCTTAAAGACGTCCACTTGGTGGTCTTGGGGCGGGGCGGGCTCACCGTTCTCCATGTATTCTGTGATGATGTAGATGGGCTCCTGCGTCACCACGGCATAAAGCCGTACGAGGCGTGGATGCTGCAGGTGCTTCATGAGGTTGGCCTCCGCCAGGAAGGCCCCAGGCGACATGGTCCCCGCTTTCAGGTTCTTGATGGCCACTTTGCGCTGGTTGTACGTCCCTGTGGAGCAGAGGGCAGGGTTCTTGCAGGTTTCAGTAAGTTAAATTTAAGACCTTTTTTAGACCTTTCAAGACCCTGCGGGAACCCTGACAGGGATTGCAGGTGTCCATTGGGGACGGTGTGGATACGCTGTCTCACTACAAACGCCAAATCAAAGTCCAGCATCAATCCAGAAGTGAGGACTTTTCTAGGTATGGTTAGTGTCTGGCTGTAGTTTGGTGGATGTCGGTAACAGTGAGATTAACATTCTACTCAGTCATATGACTCAACAGGGCCCTCCAGCCCCATAGGGAACCACAGACCCCTCACACCAACCCACCCCAAACTGCCCCTCACACCCATCCTCCCCAAACTGCCCCTCACACCAACCCACCCCAAACTGCCCCTCAAACTCACCCATCCAAACCTCCCCAAACTGCCCCTCACACCAACCCATCTACACCTCCCCAAACTGCCCCTCACACCAACCCATCCACACCTCCCCAAACTGCCCCTCACACCCACCCTCCCCAAACTGCCCCTCACACTCACCCATCCACACCTCCCCAAACTGCCCTGCCCCCAGGCGACGCTCCAGTTTCAGTGATTCCCGGGGGATCTCCCACTCATCCTGCCACCAGGGCTTCTGCGGGGCCCGAGTCTGGCATGGTTTGAGGAGGCGGAAACAGAGGCCATCTGCTTCACCTACAGGGGGGGCAACAAGCAGATGGACTAAGAAACACTCAGAAAGAAGGAGAGCGAGAGACTCCATATAGCTGCATGTCCACCCCTAGTGGTGAGGGGCTGGCTGCAGGCAGGGGGGCAGAGCTGCAGCAGGACGACTCCATCTTCATTTTCATGATGCATCATCTGCAGAAAGGAGGAACAGAACCTCACAAAGATAGAGGTGAAGCTGGAGGAGGAGAACGTGGAAGAACCTGCATTTCAGAAGAAGAGCAAAGTACGACATCCTCCCCACAGAGAGGTGAGGCTGCAGCTCGGTCGCCTTGGCGCCAGAGCACTGCTCTGACATCACAGCCTGCGCAGGATGTGGCCTCAGTGAGCAGCATGTGCAGGCCACCGCACCCTTGCCGGAGCTGAGAGGAGAAGCGGCAGCACAGCATCCAGGCGCCCAGCTGCGACAGCATCTGGACCCGCAGAGCCACACAGCAGATAAAGAGTCAGCGAGTAAATGTGAACGTGGGCTCAGGGAATACCCACAGAAGTAATGCTGCACCAGGTCCGAGAGGCAGCTGAATGAGATCCGGGGCGTGATGTAAAAGCCACCATTGTCTAGGTTCCGGATCTTGTAGTGCTTGACGGTGTCGCCACATTCAGGATCCAAATCCCGCACAGACAAGGAGTATGAGCCTTGAGGTAGAAGGGGTCAGAAGTCAATATGGACCAACCAGACGCACAGCAGCCAAACACAGACCAATCACACTTTGCTAAGATACAACCACAGCAGTGCTTTACGCGTAAGCAGCCATAGAGCAGAGCACCTTTGCTGGTCTCACTCTCCCGGATGAGGAAGGAACCCTGGGTGTTTCCTGGGGCCAGCAGCAGCCTCATGGCATCGTTTCTGGAAAGATCTTTGAAGAACCACCTATGTGACAGAAGAATTGAATAAAAACCTGCTAGAATGCCAGCAGACCACTGTGAACCTTTTAGAAACCTTCCAGAGTTTTCTTTTGTAATTTCTAATGATGAGCATACAGAGGAATTGGCAGTGCTCTGTCTGTAAAATAAGCTGGTGTTTCAGTATGTCACTGTGGGACTAGCCGGTGTCCCCTGAACACTGCCTGAGGGACACATCAATGTCTGCTTGTGTACACATTCCTGAGCTGATCCTCAGCACTCGTCTGACTCACGGTTCGGTTTCCATGGTGTCCATCTTGGCAACAAAGTTGAAAGGAATGTAGCCCTTCTGGCCGGTGGTCAGGGATTCAGCCCAGTACCATTCCGGGTCATCCCTTGGAGAGAAGGTTCCAGAATCAAGATGGTTTATTGTCATTCTGAGTACATGGGGGCAGTATGTTAGGGAACGAAATTAGGTACTGAAGTCCCATGAACAGCACTACAGTCCTAAACAAATATTCACTTCCAGTAAGAAAAACTGGTTGCAAGTGATTTCAAGTGCAGATGAATATTAATAACAATCAATACTTTATTGACTTTATGCCTCCCTCAACTAGCTCTGTTTTGTAGAGTAAGTGAAGGGCAGCTACCTGTAGATTAAGGGCCTTGCTCAAGGACCCGCAAACATGCTGAGGCTGGGTTTGAACGGGTGACCTTCTGTTTATAGGCACACAGGCTTAGCCCACTGTGCCACATGCCACCCCCATATATACAAAAGTGTATATACTGGTGTGAGTATAAGTAAAAACTAGCAGTCAAAAGTTTTTGCACATCACAAGTTTTTGACACTTTGACATTTATTTCATAAACTGCAGAATTTTTTATTCATATTAAGCATTTTGAAGGTTGAGCGAACAACTATAAATGAAAATATAAATCAAATGAAATAAGTTTCCTTTATAACATGGAAAGAGTATGTAACAGTGTATGTCTGACATCCTGTTAACTGGTTGTGTGGTGATGGCATAGTCAGATTTTAGTCTGTCCTTTAACTTTAAATGCACTAGTTAACAGAAACAGAGCAGTATTTTACGTCTCTCGTAGAAAGAATGCCCTGAATTTTCTCTGCTGTTATAACTGCTTGTGGAGGTAACTTTGATGACCTTTTCTTGCTAATAAAGGTCCTTGAATGGTGAACATACTGTAAAGGTATTGGTTAGTAAAGATTATTGAGTATATTTGTAGTAAATGTTAAATGAGTACTGCAGTGTGTTGACGCCCGCCCAGGGTTGGCTGCCTAATTGGGCGCCTTGGCCTAAGGCTCTGCGCTCCAGCCAACTGATCCCTGCTGGTGACCATCTCGCCTAGCGATGTGTAAATAAGGACTGATCCCTGCTGCGGACCATCTCACCTAGCGATATGTAAATAAGGACTGATACCTGCTGGTGACCATCTCGCCTAGCGATGTGTAAATAAGGACTGATCCCTGCTGGTGACCATCTCGCCTAGCGATGTGTAAATAAGGACTGATCCCTGCTGGTGACCATCTCGCCTAGCGATGTGTAAATAAGGACTGATCCCTGCTGGTGACCATCTCGCCTAGCGATATGTAAATAAGGACTGACACCTGCTGGAGACCATCTCGCCTATTGAAGTGTAAATAAGGACTGATCCCTGCTGGTGACCATCTCGCCTAGCGAAGTGTAAATAAGGACTGACACCTGCTGGTGACTATCTCGCCTAGCGAAGTGTAAATAAGGACTGATCCCTGCTGGTGACCATCTCGCCTAGTGATGTGTAAAGGACTCCCCCTCTCACCTGTTAAGGACTTTCAGCTTGTCCCCCTTGTGGAAGCCCAGGTCATCGTTGTGGTCGGGTTCATAGCTATACAGGGCAATGACCAGATTGTCTGGAATGCAGGAAGTGAGTAGGCTCAGGGTACATGGACAGTAAGTGGTGCACCAGGCAGAACATTCTAGAAGGAAGACACATATCACTCTCGGTCTTGCAACAGACTTTGACTTTAGACCAGTGGAGAACCAGCCGTGAGCATCCAGAGATCAGTGGAGAACCAGCCGTGAGCATCCAGAGACCAGTGGCGGGCAGACTTCTGCTAATCCGCTAACTGATAATTAACCAAGCTAACTTTTTCGTTAGCAGATTAGCATTTCTGATAACTGAAAAACTTTGAAAACCTTTAGCAGACCAATCAGCTTCCGCTAAATTTTGTTCCGTTAACTGTAAATCTGCTACCATTTTTTTGCAGGTAAAGTGAATAAAGTTTAATGGTTTAAAAAAAATTTACACCATAAAATCAAAAATATTTGACCCTGCCTGTTGTGAGCATGTCTGCAGTTGTTGGCTGACTATGTGTAAATACAAGATGTGATTGGTCCATAACTTGTCACATTTAAGATAGTATGGGCTAAATGTAAGTGAACTAAGATAAAGTCTATTTAAGCTGGGGTACCCTGACCTAAGCACTGAACAGGGAACTGTATTTCTTGCTTAGCCAGATAACTTTTTGGATTGAAGGTACCGTAGTTTGAATTACATTTATCTTCATTCACTTACATATAGCCCAGACTAACTTTAACCCGACAAGTTATCTGGCTAAGCAAGAAATCCTCTGAAATAATCCAGCTTCATGATATAGGCTCCCAGTTGTATTTTCTGCATTCTGATTGACAGAGTTATACTGTAGACCAACAAAGAGCTGAAACCCTCATTCCAAGTTCCGGGTAAACAGCGCCATGTTTGTAGTCCCTAAGGGGCTTCACTGAGGGTAAAATGCCAGCATGGGCTTCTCCAACAAAAATGCATTTGTCTTGCAAATGGAGTATCTTAGAAAGAAAATTTCAATGCAGGTTTATTCTAGAGACTCCAGAGAATCCAACGTTTTCCAACCCAATTGGTTAAGTACTAAATATCCCCTGGTAATCACTCCAGCCAAAAACCAAATGGAAGCTAAAGTCATATAATAATAGTTAGAGGTTAGCGGTTATGATTAGCTTCTGCTAAATTTTTTTAGTGGTTTATCGGTTTACCGTTAGGGAGAGGGAGAGGGAGAGGGAGAGGGAGGGAGAGAGAGGGGAAGTGCAGAAAAAGACAGGCAGACGGTGTGTGCAGACTCACCAGGCGCTGGAGAACACGGTGGCGTTTGCTGGGAGGGGTAGGGGATCCTGGTGTCCGTGTACTGAAATGACATGTGTGACAGTGGGAGACCAGCACACGCCACCACACAATCACTCTGAACTGGAAACGGACCAGAGTCCGTACTTCAGAGAAACATCACCAAATGAGGAGGTTTGACAACAATTCTGGGTTTGTCCCTACTGTCCCACATGATTATTATGGGATGTTTCAGGTTGGTTGCTGTTCCCATCGAGCTGTCAGGATGCACGGAGAAGGAGCAGGAGCAATGCTACAGCGTGTCTCCCTGACAACAGCCTCCTGCCCTCCAGCTTTTATCTACGGAATTTGTTTCCACAGTTAAAAGGGGAGCATCACAGCTGCAGGGCCGTTTGCAGGATGAAAATAGACGATCCTTCATTTGCTGTTTGCAGAAGTACATTGGAATGTTTTTCATTTTGAGACTCACACATCTGTACAGCTGAGAGAGCGAAGCTTGGGGTCAGTGTGCAAGGCGAGGCCATATGTCCAGGACCTGTAGCACTTCGGGGAGTGGGGGAGGGGGGCTGAACTAAAAACTTGATCACACGTACGGAGGTTTAACCCTCTGAGCCACTGACTGTGTCTCTGGCAGCTCTGACAGATGCCACCACTTGTAACAGCCTCTGCCCTGTATATCAGTAATGCAGCGATAAGGAAAGCTAATTAGAAAGTTTATTATTTTAAAAATAGTGATAGCAATTGTTTTGATTTCACACTGTCTACACTGATTTCTCTTTTGCTATCACACGCGTGCATTACTGACAGACTTGCATTAAATCGGCAGGAGTGCAGCCTTTTGCACTGGAAAGGATTTATTTGTCAGAAACGCTTCATTGTCTCACCTTAAGGTGAACAGTCAAATTAGATGTTTATTAATAGATCCTCCTACAGATCAATTTGCAAAATGCATTTCTAATGATGCTTTCATTAACATTAAAATAATTCCATATAGCAGACATTATTCTAACTGTTTATTACGCGGGTGTGCAGTGATATGGGTCACCATTTTAAATAGCATCCCTATTGAGGGCATGAGGTCTGAGGGCCAGCAGCCAGCCGCAATCGATCCAATACCCCCCTGCACCCTCACCTCACCTGGTTTGCTGTCTGGGGTGGCAGCGGGCAGTTGCAATGCTCACAGACCTCGTCCAGGTTCTCGATCCAGTCGTCATCATTGTAATCGGAGCTGCAGGTGCACCCCATCCTGCTTGCGGGGAGAACATGTCATGTTAAACCCAGAAACCACACCAAAGACTGTGAGATACTTTCCTTGTTTAGAGAAACACAGAGCACTTCGTGATGATTAAGCTCCTCCAGTGAGTTAAGAATGACATTATGAGTGAATTTATCATAGTTCTCTGTGTATTCAATGTGTACCTTCTTCATACGCACCATCTCTGTGTACGAGCCCTGACCTTCTTCATACGCACCATCTCTGTGTACGAGCCCTGACCTTCTTCATATGCTCCATCTCTGTGTACGAGCCCTGACCTTCTTCATATGCTCCATCTCTGTGTACGAGCCCTAACCTTCTTCATACGCACCATCTCTGTGTACGAGTCCTGACCTTCTTCATACGCACCGTCGCTTTTTCACGTGTGCAGATGTACATGTTTCATGTGTGTTAAGCACATGTCTGTAATTCCTGTGTTGTGTTGTTTTGACCCTAAAAGGACATTTCAGTGATATGCAGTGATGTAGCTGGTTCGCTGTGATGTAGGCAGGGACACATCCTGAGGAACTGAGATCAACAGCTGAGGAGACCAGCCCTCCCGGCTATGGATGGCTGACTCTGGGGCGTGTTCCAGCCGAGTGGCAGGATGAGATGCAGCACACTGTACAATCGTGGTGCAGCCAAACAGCGCATTCATTCACGGTGACTGTGTACCGCAGTGTGCAGCTCCTCGACCAAGCATGCAGACAACAAAAAGTGCTGTATTTTGTTTTCTGTACTTGGTTACTGATGCAGACATGATGGGCATAATTCATTCATGAGCCCTCTGCGTCAGCGAAACCGAAAGCTCTGAGGGCGGCCATTTTGCGACACAGGCAGAAGGAAAATGTCCCAGTGCTCGGAGAACAATGTACGGGGCTCATGGGGCCGCCCGCGCCCCTCGGCTCTCTCCAGCTTTGGCTACGTGTCGCTGCGGAGAGAGGCCATGTCCCCATAAGTGCTGGGGTGAGACATCACTCCCTGCTCTCTACAGCCTGACTCCTGTCTCTTTGTTGGTGAATCCACTCTCAGATACAGGCCCCTTAAATACCCCAAGCGACCCCTAACCCTGCCCAGTGTACCTCGGAGCTTGCTCATTTGTGTGGTTCTTTTCAGACCTGGTGCCTGCAGTGTCTGGGGCGCGTTCATGCTCAGGTGATCCCAGGCTATAGCCTCAGTCTACAGCAAACACCCCTCCCCCCACCCGTCGCCTTGGGAAAAATGAAACAGTTCAGCAATACCTGACTATCCGTGCTGATGTTGGCCTACGACCCCCAGAAAGATGCATCCACTCCTGGCAATATAGATCATCTTTTGGCTTTGCTAACGCTGCCACCGCATCCCAAAACAGCAGTAGATCATCTTGTCATATTTTTTTTGTGATCACACACAGGAATGGAAGATCAAATCATCCAGACAGCAAGCCAGATCTACGGACAAGACTGATCTATGGACAAGCCAGGTCTACGGACAAGCCTGATCTACGGACAAGCCAGGTCTACGGACAAGCCAGGTCTACGGACAAGCCAGGTCTACGGTCCACAGACAAGGCGGATGAATGATCCAGCAGAAAGAACAGCATCAAACACCAACCAACGTCACTAAGCAGGACGGACAGGGCACTGGGTGCTCAGGAAATCACAAGGGACACTGAGATGACAGCGAGGGATGACTGAAGAACAGCAATGAACGACAATGAGGGGTGAAAGCAGAGAATGACAGCAAGAAATAAGAGAGAAATTACAGAACTGTGGTAAGAAGAGACAGAGACAACAGTGAACAACAGGGAACGATGGCAAGGAAACGATAGATAGATAGATAGATAGATAGATAGATAGATAGATAAGATAGATAAGATAAATTTCAAAATGTGTTTTTAAAACGAAATATAATTCATTTTGTTTTCTCTGATCTTACATCCATCTGTGACTGTTTCTCGGAAGACCCTTGCAAATGTCATTAAACATCAGCAGTTTTCCAGGCTGAATTTCAAAAGGCAGCCCCACACGGGTCCCACACCCCTCCTCCCAACTTGGGAGTCACTTCTCATGTAACCGTCGTGTAACTCGGCCTTTTGGGTCCTGAAGAACACATGGACTGACTGATAGATCACAGCAGCCTGCTGCAAAGCAGCAAACCTCATAAGAAAAAGTGGATCTGGGCCAGAACACACAGATCAGCAGACTGCAGATCGGGACCTTGGCCTCCACAGCATCTTGGCAATTCTCAAGAGTTACTACATCAATAATGAGTAAGTAAAAGAACAAAGCAGAGGTTGAATTCTAGACCATTGGGAAAGAAATTCTGTTTCACCAGCCGGATGTTTAGCACTGCTAGTCTGCCTGATATTAGCAGGTACAATGTGGGGTAAGTAAGAGACCCAAAATGGAGACGGTTCTCTGTGTCCTGCCGATGCCTTCAGTGCCAAGGCCAGTGGGCTGCTCAGGCTGGGCACAGAATCCCAAGGGTTTCCGCCTCCCACGCCAGACACCCCTATTGAATTCCTGCTGTGTTGGTTCTTTGGGTCCAATCGGCCTCTTGGTCACAAAAATCTGGCTATCACCTGGCTAACCACAGAGCCCCAGCCAGTCAGGGATAGACCCCCGCACCTACCTGGTGGCCCTCAGCGCTGTCCGGGTGGCGGTTTGAGATTCTACTGATTCCCAGTCCAATTGGACATGCCCATGGTGGGGGGTGCTGGTCCTTGATTAGAAAAAAAAAAAGCACCAAAACGAAAAATGCTAAAGCGGCAGAGGAAATGGCCGTGTAGAATTCTGAAGGTGCGAGAGAGTGCCTCTGGTCCTGAGGCTTCCTGGCCGTTCAGAAAAATCGCATCGGCTCCTCCCCTGCCTGCTGCCACCGCGCAGCCGCACCACGGCGGCGCCGGGTTTCCTGTCGTTAGGCGTGCCGAGAGTCCTCACAGGTGTCACCTGTGCTGCTGGGTCTCAGGAAATGTCAGGCCCAGCAGAAGGGTCTCAGAACCACGTCTGCAGGGTCGCTTGCAGGCCCAGGATTTCTGACGCCTGTCAGATAGAGCACAGTCACATTTTTGGGATACAGTGGCAGCGTAAGTGAAGGCAAGCTTCAGACCTGGTGCTCCTCACACTGACAGCGAGACCCTGCAGAACGTTCCGTGGTGGGGAACAGGTGTTCATCATGATAAGATCATGATAAGCTAGTGCAGAAAAGAAGGCCATGAACACGGAACACGAAACACGCAGGGCTGGGGGGCCAAGGGGGACAGGCTGCTGGTGTCATGCATCTCCGTCTCACTTTGTAACTTTAGCTTCACCACTTATTCCTTCTGACAGATGCAGGTCCTTTGAAAACACAGCTCTGTTCTGTCTCCACCCCAAACTGCCAACAGATAGAGGGATGAGGGGATGAGGTCTCCCACTGAGCCAGCTAGGCTCTGCCTTGACCAGTCAAGTTGCTCATCTGGCATCGGGCCTGCAGAGGCCCTGGAAATGGTGGCTGTGAGGCTCATGTTTCTTCTTTTAATGCTGCTTTTGTTCAAGGGGGCGGTTGTCCCATTGTAGCTGCAAATGCCGCAGCTTTTTGTTGTGGTGGCAGAGAGGAGCCTGAGAGTGCGATGGCAGGAAGTGGGGCCTAGTTCGCACACAGGAAGTGAGTCACAGAGCACACAGGAAGCGAGAGAATGCACACACAGCACAGGAGAAGGCAGAGAGGGTCCTGGGCAGGATTGCACCTGCCAGCAGCCGCTCCCCCCCATGGTGATTCTCAGGTGTGCTGAGTGCATGTTTCTTACACCACCTGAAGGACGTGGATGGAAAGCAGGCCAGGGCGAAAGACACCCCCTCCCTGAGCAGATTTCCTGTGCTGGTGGAAAACCAGCGTCATTGCCGGCATCTGGAGTGGCAAGAGGTGACTCACCAGCAGGGGGGAGAGCGACCTGGAAAAGCCTTGCTGACGTCACACGAAGCTGTGATAGTGATGATTTCACACTCGCTCATCCTGCTCATGCTCAGACTGACTTCAGGAGAATACTCAGGGATAGTCACCGCTTATGCCCCCCAGGTACGGCCCTGGAAACTGCCCTGCCCACACCAGCCTAGTGCATGGGTGCATGCCAGGTTTAAAGGTAAAAGGTTAAAATGTTACAAAGCCTGGGGGGGGGCTGGTATTAGTGAAACCTCCTGACTAGCGCTAAATTCGACGAATCCTTATGTGTATTAGATTTGGTCAGTGGAGCATGTCACATGCTACTGTTGTGGTGAGTCATGAAAGCTGATAATCACTGAAGTGGCACTGAAGAAAGACTCAGCTCAACAGCCACAACATCTTTTAAAAGGGGAGATACTGCAGACAAATGAGATAAAAAGACGTCTGTCCCCCCCACCCTCCTAAACACACACACTACTCCTACAATCACGGACATTTACTTGCGCCCCACAGTTTGATAAGCAGATTAGTGGTGTGCCTCAGATATTAGTGAGATGCATGTTGTGACAGCCAAAAGGCAGTAGTCTGTATAAATTCAGTCGCCTTTATGTACCTTCAAGCCACTACAGACTCCGCAGGACTTTGCGACCCTAAAAGTCACTCAAAGTACAGTGGTACCTCAGTTCTCGAACTTAATCCGTTCTGGACTCCGGATCGAATCCTAAAAATTTCGAGTTCTGATTGAATTTTTCCCATAAGAAATAATGGAAAACCAATTAATTGGTTCCCGGCCCCCAAAAATTACACCCAAATGGTTTTTTTTAGCATTTAAACACAAAATGAACAGGACAAAAACAAGAAGAGCATTTTTTTCTTAATGGCTCCCAAAACGATAAAGATCTTATCCCAACATTACCCCTGTCCTGCCCCGATCGTCCGCTCCTTCCGTGTGCCACGCCCCCTCGTTAACTTCGTGTGGGATCCCCATGTGATCAGCTGTTTCTGGTTGTTGTCATTAGTCCTCTGTATTAAGTCCGCGTTTCAGTTTGTTTCCCCAGTCCGGTCATCGGGTGCGTTGGACTTGCTTACAGCGCTGGCTT